CAAAGGCACTGAATGTCAGAGTTAAAAGTCAGGCTCTTAATTGGGTACGGTGACTCATGCCTGTAATCCTAGCACTTTGGGAGGCAGAGTCCTGAGGATTGCCTGAGCCCATGGGTTTGAGACCAGCCTGGGTAACATGGCGAGACCTTGTCTCTACATTAAACCAAAATAATTAGATGGGCATGGTGGTGCATGCTTGTAGTTCCAGCTACTTGGAAGACTGAAGCAGAAGGATCATCTGAGCCCAGCAGGTTGAGGCAGTGATGGTCGTGATTGTGCCACTGCATTTCCTGCCTGGGCCACAGAGTGAGACTCCAACTCAAAAAAGAGTCAGTCTTTCCTTGAGTGTAGTGCTGAGGCTTCTTTTGGTGTTCACAGCTGTGTTTTAGGGATACCACTCTTCCAGTGGTGTGTGGTTGAATTGGTGGTAGAGCAGGGACTGAGGCCTTTCAGGACCTGGTCCCTGTTCTGTACTTTGTGGAAGTGACAGGAACCACAGGGAGCCCTCGCCGCTGCTCTGAGGCCACGGTGTGTGGGGTCCTCTGCATGCATCCCTCCTATCCCAGGATCTGGGTGGGGGGCATGCAGGGCCAGGCCTGTTCTCCTTTCCCACCTGCCTTCTTTGTGTGGGGCAGCTGCGGGCTAGTCACCTCACTGGATCTAACCCTCACAAAGCTGGGTGGAGAGCTTTCTTTGGTTTTACTTTTGAAACCCCAAGAGGTGAGTCCACTCATGGAGAAAGAGCCCCTGCACAGGCTCTGTGCTCTTTTAGGAGGGGGAGGAAGATGAAGGAGGAAAATCTGAACTGTTGATCTGCCCTTTGGAGCTGATCTGTGATCACGATTTTGATGATCCCTGGGAAGCTGGATCTGCAGGGTTGGGGGTAATAGCTGGTGGAGGGAAGAACTTGAGGTGGCATGGGCAGTCCTAGGATGGGGAAAGGAGACAGTGAGGTGGCCGGGTGAGGTGGGGGCAGGCATGGACTGGTGTGGCCTGGGGGGAAGTGTTGTTGCTGACCACGTGGGATCACATGGCCCATACTGTGACTGCTCCCTGTTCCCTCCCCCTCTAGCTTTTAACATCCAGATTCGTCACAGTTTAAGAGAGAAACGGGGCTCCCTGTTTTCTGCACTCCTCTGTCTACTTCCTTTCATTCATTTCTCAGCTCAGTGACTTCTTTCACTCTGTTTTTAGCAGCATTATTGAGATGTAATTCACATACAAGACAGTTGGCCTGGTGAAAGCACATAATCTGGTGGTTTGTAGTATGATCACTGTTGCACAACCATCCCAGTCTGCCCTCCACAGTGCCATTCGTGTGACATCCATTTCTGCCAGCACTGTAAGATTCTAGCCTCTCTATCCTTGCATCACTTGATATTATTTGACTCTTCAAGCCATCATCCTGGTGAATGCCACACAGTATCTCGTTGTAGATGTGGTTTGCATTTCTATAATGGCTAATGACGTTGAGCATTTTTCATGTGCCATTTATTTATCTTCTTTGGAGAAATTTCCGTTCGGATCCTTTGCCTGTTTTAAAATTGGGTTGTATGCCTTTTTATTATTGACTAAAAGAGTTGTTTGTTTGTTTTAGATAGGAGCTCCTTACGCGTATTTGGCTTGCAAATATTTGCTTCCGTTCTGCGATCTTTTTACTTTCTTGATGGCTTTACTTGTAGCACAAAAGTCTTTAATTTTGAAGTCCAATAGATTTGTGTTTCCTTTTGTTGCTTGTGCTTTGGCATTATATCTAAGACAACTTTGTCTAAACCGCTGCCACAAAGATGTTCTCCTCTGTTTTCTTCTAACAGAAAGTTTTAGCTCTCATGTTAGGTCTGTGAATCTGAGTTAAATTTTTTTTGTGCTATAAGGTAGGATCCAGTTTTGTTCTTTTTCATGAGAATGTCCAGTTGTCCTGGCACCATTTGTTGAAACTTCCCCATTGAACTGTCTTGGTACTTCTGTCACATCACTTGATCGTATGTGTAAGGTTTTATCTATGGCTTCTCAATTGTGTTCCACTGATCTTTCTGTCCATATTCCAGCTCCACACTGTCCTTAATACAATAGCTGCATAGTAGGTTTTGAAATGGCAAAGTGTGAGTTTTCCAACTTTGTTCTTTTCAAGACTTTTTTTTGTCTGTGGAGGCGTTCCTTGCATTTCTATATGAATTTATGGATCAGTTTGTCAGTTTCTGCAAAAAATGGCAGCTGGGTTTTGCAGGGGTTGTGTGGAGTGTGTACGTCCATGTGATAGGCATTGCCATCTTAGCAGTGTTGTAGAAGACATGGCTGTCTTTCTGTGTATGCTGTCCTCTTTAATTTCAGTATTGTTTTGTAATTTGTAGAGTACAAGTTTTATGCTTTTGCTCAGTTTATTCTCAACTACTTTGTTTTTGTGTGTGTGTGTTTTTGTTGTCATGCTGGACTCCCAAAGACCTCAAAAGGGAAGCCTCTGTGTCCAAGAAGACAAAGAAATGGCCTGGGGACAGCAGATGAGATGAGTGCTTATTTCAGGAACTTATAGGGAAGGTGTCCAGGAGCGGTCAGCTGCACGGGAAAAACCTCTCCTGACTGTAAAGGGCTTCAGGTTATATAGCATTTATATAGGGTGAAGTACAGAGTTAAGGGTAAAGCGGGCAGGGTTTCTAGTGTACAGGCGTGGTGTGAGAAGGTGTTTACACACACATCGCAGGTATACAAAATGACTGTGAATTCTCTCTAGGGTGAGATTTTTAGTATGATGGTGAACTAAAGGTGAACTAAAGGGAACCAGGGGTCATGGGCATTGATCCAGGTGGCTGATCTGATCTGAACCAGCCCGAGGGTGGGGACTGCCTCAAGGAAAGTGAGACTATTCACTGTGCACTGCTGCAGGGTGTGGTCAGCAGGTGGGAGGACACTTAGCCCACTGCCTCAGCATGACCTGCACGGCCAGGCCAGAGCCTGAGTTGAACGGGTCATCCTGTGTTGACCACCCCAGTACCCCTCCCCAGACTCCAGCCCCCTGCTTGAAGCCACGTCCAGGGTGTGCTCATGTTGCAACTGTGTGTCGTCCTCCAATACAATTTTTTTTTTTTTTGAGTTGGAGTCTCATTCTGTCGCCCAGACTGGAGTGCAGTGGCACGCTCCTGGCCACCGCAGCTTCGACCTGCTGGGCCCCGGTGATCCTTCTGTCTCAGCCTTCCAAGTAGCTGGAACTACAGGTACATGCTACCATGCCCAGCTAGTTTTTTTTTTTTTGTAGAGATGAGGTCTCACCAAGTTGCCCAGGCGGGTCTTGAACCCGCGGACTCAGGCAATCCACTCACCTCAGCCTCCCCAATCACGGAATTACAGGCTAAGCCACCGAGCCGGGCTTATAGTACAATTTTAAAGTCGAGGACTGCACCAGTTTTTCCACACGTCCCTTTTCTAATCCAGAATCCCATAGTGCATTGTCATGTCTCTGTAGTTTCTTCCTGTCTCTTCCAGTTTCTTTTCTTTCATGAGCATAACACTTCAGTTATTTATTTATTTATTTCTGAGTCAGAGACTCACTCTGTTGCCACCATAGCCTTGACCTGCTGGGCTCAGGTGAACCTTCCGCCTTAGCCTTCCAAGTAGCTGGAACTACAGGCATGCCCCACCATGCTCAGCTAACTTTTTATGATTTATCGTAGAGACGAAGTCTCACTAAGTTGCCCAGGCTGGTATCGAACCTCTGGGCTCAGGCACTCCTCTGACCTCTGCCTCCCAAAGTGCTGGGATTACAGGCATGAGCCACCATGCCCAGCATACTTCAATTATTTTATATGCTGTCCCTTACTTGAGGGTTTTATCTGGTATTTTCTCATGATTAGATTGAGGTTGTGTATTACTGGGGATACCACTGAGGTGATGGGACTTCTCAGAGTATCCTGTTGGGGATATCTGATGTCAATATTTATTACCGGGGATGTCACGTTGATCTGGCTAAGGTTTGTCTGCCAGGATTATCCAGTGAAACTAAACTGTTTTCCTGTTTGTAATTACTCTTTGGGAGGAATGCCTTGAGACTATGCAGACATTCTGTTTCTGTTACACGCTGACTCTGGCACCCACGGGTGGATCTTGCCGTGGCAGTTACCATGGTATTCTAGTGACACTTCTCTGTTTTTCTGCATTTATTAATTGGAACTCTTCTGTATGGAAGAGTTGTCGCTTCTCACTTATTTTAATTTTTTTTTTCTTTTTTTGAGTTGGAGTCTCACTCTGTCGCCCAGACCTGGAGTGCAGTGGTTGCTCCTGGCCACCGCAGCCTTGACCTGCTGGGCTCCAGCGATCCTTCTGCCTCAGCCTTCCGAGTAGCTGGAATTACAGGCATGTGCTACCATGCCCAGCTGATTTTTTGATTTATTGTAGAGATAAGGTCTCGCCAAGTTGCCCAGGCAAGTCTTGAACCCACGGGCTCAGGCAATCCACTCACCTCAGCCTCCCAAAGTGTGGGATTACAGGCTGAGCCACTGAGCCCGGCTTCACTCATTTTATTTACTTATTTATTTAGGTAATTCTGTCAGTCGATCTTGTGGCTACTTGTATTCTGTGAGTTGTCTTCCAGTACTAAGGTGATTGGTTTTGTGCTCACATCATTCCCACCTCTTCTGCCTGGGTTTTGAGTGACTGTCAAGATAAAGACTCACCTCCTGTGGCCTGAAATACTCGGAGTGTGTTTTGTTTCACTTACTCTCTGACAGAAGGGTGAACAAGCTAATTAACTTTACTCTTTTATTTTTAAAATCAGAATTTGCTGCTCATTGTGATGTATTTTTCTGTTAGGATCAGCCTAGTGAATTTCCAAACTTAACACACTCAAAATTGGATAATATGAAATAGGAAACACACTCCTTATAAAGTGACTTTAGGTTTTATTCACTAAATGATACAGTTTAGATTTTTATATACAATTTAAAAATTCCTCTTGCTGAAAACATCAATTGTTGTTATAAGCTATTTCACATTGCAAATCCTGTTTTTAGGAAAAGAAGAAATCTGAAACCCTTCAGAGGGAAGACTCCGATGAAGTCTCCCTTCCGAAAACCTCCAGAGAGCAAGAAATCCCTTCTCCAGCCCGAAAGCTCAGAGAAGACTATTCAAAGGTGTCAGCTGGCTCCCTGCCCCAGGGTGATGCCGGTGGACAGAATGAAAGTGAAATGTTCAATGTCCCACTCACCTCCTTAACGCTGAGCAACGAGGAGTCCCTGGCACACACTGCTGATCCTCTGGAGGAAGCAGGGGTGATTGGAGCCTGCGTGGGGGCCAGTGCAGTCAACCCAAAAGCTGACCCTGGAGATGATGTAGGGACTATGGTGGAGACCTCCGAGAAGTGTACTGAGGTAGAAGAAGACATGTTGGTACAGTGTGGACTTCCCGAAAGTGCACTTCACACTAATGTTTCTTGTGCTCAGCAGGAAATGGTAAATTTACAGGTCAGAGAAACTCAGAATAGCAGAGAAGACAAACAGGCCGTGGGCTGCATTTCAGAGGTACTGCAGAGTGCTGGCATGCAGAACTCTGGTGAAGCCACACCTGTGTCCCAGCCACCCAGAGTGAAGAAGCTGTATCCACCACTGCCAGCTGAGGTGGCCGGAGCAGTGCCAGTGGTGGTGGCTGGGAAGCCCTGGCTCCGGAGGGGGCTCTACCCAGAGCTCCCCTTGCAGCCGGAGCTGGTACCGTTCACCAAAGAACAGCTGAGAATCCTGGAGCCTGGCTCTTGGCTAGAAAACGTTGAGTCGTATCTGGAGGAGTTTGACAGCATGGCTCATCAGGACCGGCACGAGTTCTACGAGCTGCTTTTGAACTACTCACGCTGTAGGAAGCAGCTGCTCCTGGCAGAAGCGGAGCTGCTCACACTGGCATCTGACTGCCAGAATGCCAAAAGCCGGCTGTGGCAGTTCAAGGAGGAACAAATGTCTGTGCAGGTATCTTGATAGGGAGCCTGGGGATGTGTGGGAGGACTGCTATCCCTGCGATACCACCTGAGGCTGGCGCCTACTTCTCACCCCATGTTGGCCCTGGCTTACCTAGACCAGTGCAGTACAGGACTCAGTGCCAGGTGTGTCACAGAAGCATGCAGGGGACTGAGGGGGATGGGGGTCACCGACCAGCTCGTGCCTGGCCTGGAACCAACAGCTGCTCTTGCTTACTAGCTGATGTTGCCATGAAGTTGTGTTGGGGGCTACATCTTAGGATTTTTCAATAAAAACTAGAAATCTGGATTTTCAGGTGAGGGATTCTAATTTGTAGATGTGGGCACGTAATCTTATACACAACACACACACACACACACACACACACACACACACACACACACACACACACACACAGTTTAAGCCAAGCAGATCATGTCCGCAGGACACATTCATTCCATGGGCCATTAGTTTGTGACCTTGAGTGTAACACCACCAGCATCCAATAGTTAGTGGATGTCAAGGCTGAGAGGTAAGGAAACACGGAAGGCCATTCACTGTGACCCTGTGGGGGCCAAAGTGACCATACGAGAGCCATTTCATGGTATCTTAGGGGGGTGCCAAGGAAGAGAAGGCCACTCTTGACAGGTCTAGCAGTGAGGGGAAGCCGGAGGAGGTGTTGGGGAGACATGTGTGCTTCCCCATCCCTTGCTTTGTCAGGGGCCCTGTGTATCTCAGATAGGAAGGAATGTGTGGAGAGGGAAACATTTGGAAGCACTGGGTTGGAGAGGACAAAACCAGGAACACAGCTGGAGGAGTTAGTCTCAGAAAGGAGAGGGGTTTCTTTCTTTTGAACAGAATCACAAGGAATAGCAAGAGGAGGTCCAGAAATGTCTTGAGGTCCTTTGGAGTTGAGGGGATGTCTATCCCACTGGCCCCAGTTAATGCAGTGGAAGGTAGGTTTATCAGGCCTAGAGACTTTGGGATAAATTCTCTGATTCTCTTACACATGTCACCACTGACTAGTTCTCAGAGTTACTCTTCCCTTGTGATGTGTTTGTCATTGGCATTACACGCCTTTGACTGAGCATTTATTTGCCGGTGATAATTTTCTATTCAGTAGCATTGCCCCCTTGCCATGACTGTAAGCTCTTCCAGGATGGAAGCCTCCAGCTCTTACACTTCTGACCAATTGCTTTCGACTGCTTTGTGTTTTGCCCTCTTGTCATGGTAGGGAATCTGTGCAGATCAAGTGAAAGTTTCTGGCTATCATCGCTACCAGAGAGTAGAGATGAGCGAGAGCGCCCTGGGGGAACTGAGGAAGCTGTTTGATGCCAAGTCCGAGCATCTGCACCAGACGCTGGCCCTTCACTCTTACACCTCCGTGCTGTCTAGGCTGCAAGTGGAGTCATACATCTACGCGTTGCTCAGTAGCTCGGCCGTCTTGAGGTCATTGACGATCCATCAGCAGGGCCAAGGTGTGTGAGTACTGGGGAGCTCACTCGTCTCACACGCTGGAGTCAGAGGACTGAGGACTACAGTCAGATTGAACTGATGGACTAGCCAGTCTTACAAGGAACCTTTTGCACATGTGGTCTTGCCCTGCCTCACAGCATTGGCTAGAGGCCTGTCCCCTACTCCCCACGTGTGTTTGGGATCAGTGCCAGGTCTCCTTTCCCCACAGCTTTCCCTACAAGTTGTCTGTGCTTCTTTAGGGTGCCAGACGCTCGCTATCCATCGGTGCTTTCCCTTGCTGTCCTTGTTTATCTGCCTGCCACAAGTCGAGTCCAAGTATAGTTTTTGATTATAAAACTAGTAATCAGATTATTTTTTCATTCTCTGTCCCATGTATAATAGTTTCTTTTTGCTTGTCTAGTTTGTTGGGCTGTTAGTTAAATTTTCCCACAGAGAATCTATAATGTTCTGAATTTTTCTTCCTGTTTTGGGTTTTGAGAAATGAGCCCTTACTACATGATATACTAAGTATTAAATATGCTAATTGAATTATGCAATTTGTATTTCTGGGAGAGATGTTAGGATCCTTTAAAAGTTCTCTCTCCCTTCCCACTTTGTTTTCTTAACTAATCAAAGGTCTGGGAGTAGACCACAGATCTGCTGACTTCAGATTTTAAAAAAAGATGATTTTCTCCTTTTTAAAAATTATTTCAAAGTTGAATGCTTTTTTGGTTTGTTTAGTAGAAACTCAGATGTTTTTATGTGATCTTTCTGTTTGTAGTTTTCTCTGAGCTAAATATTTTATTTTATTTTATTTTTTTGAGTCGGAGTCTCACTTTGTCACCCAGGCTGGAGTGCAGTGGCATGCTCATAGCTACTGCAGCATCGACCTGCTGGGCTCAGGTGATCCTTCCGCCTCAGCCTTCCAAGTAACTGGAACCCAGGTGCATGCCACCACATCTGGCTAATTTATTTATTGTAGAGACAGGGTCTCGCTGTGCTACCCAGGGTGGTCTTGAATCTGTGGTCTCAGGAAATCCTCTCTCCTCCACCTCCCAAAGTGCTGGAATTACAGGCATGAGCCACCATACCCAGCTTGAACTAAATATTTTAAAGGATTTTTTGACTTGTTTAAGTAAGGACACTAAACATTCTTCCAAAAACACCATTTATGAGCGACTCATTCACTCTTCTCCTTAATTTGTAGCTTTTAAAGCAACAGACAGCATTCCTTCCGATCTGTGTCAACTAAAGGAATGCATTAGTGTACTCTTCATGTTCACCAGGAGAGTCAATGAAGACACGCAGTTCCATGATGATGTTCTTCTCTGGCTGCAGAAACTGGTAGGGAACTGCAAAGGGCAGTAGTCTTTCTTTTATTTCTCTAATGATTTAAGAGTTATCTCTAATTTTCTCTTTTTTTTCTTCAACAGCTTCTTCGGCTAACTCATTTAATGAGTTAATTTATGGCTTTTCTTTGGTCTTGTTACGTTATAATAAGTTAGTGATATTGAGCACAAAGTATTTTTCTCTCTAATAAACATTATGTTTAGTGAGCTCTGGCCTTAAATCTAGAAAAAAATGGAAATGTGGAAATATGCCAAGTTGAAGACTAGATGTGTGCTCAGAATTCAGGCACAGGCTGAGGACTCTGACTCAAAAGTCTGAACTCTCAAATGCTCTAAAATCCCAAACTTTTATTATTTATTTATTTAAAGATGAGGTTTCACTATATAGCCCTGCCTGGTCTTGAATTCTTGGCCTCAAGCAATCCTCCTGCCTTGGCCTCCCAAAGTGTTGGAATTATAGGCATGAGCCACTGCACCCGGCTCAAAATCCCAAACTTTTGAGCACCAACATGATACCACAAGTCGAAAATTTCACACATTAAGTACTTAACACAAACTTTGTTTTTTGCACCAAATTATTAAAATTACTGTATAGAATAACCCTCAGTCTCTGTGTCTAAGGTATATATGAAACAGATGAATATAGTGTTTAGACTTGGGTCCTATCCCCAAGATATCTCTTTATGTATGTGCAAATATTCCAGAATCTGAAAAAAATCTGAATTACGAAACACTTCTGGTTCCACGCATTTCAAATAAGAGATACTCAACTGGTACCTGATCTAAAAATTTTCCATATCTCATTACTTTTGTCATCTTATGTTTAATGTTACACTTAGTCATACTAAAACTTAGGAAAGATGTTAAGTGTGTTATGGGAGGGGGTATTTGTTATTGGTTATGTATCTTAGTAGGGCTGCCTTGGGTGCTTTGTACTAGAGTTCTTAAATGTGGGGTGATGTCTCAAGCATACTGTTACAACTAAGAATAGATTAAACTACTTATATCTATTCACTTGTGGCCTGGAACTTTAATTATTTGTAGTTTTCCAGAAAAAAATAGATTTGCAGAGAAACTACTTATGATGATATCATAGTACTGATAGATTCAGAGGCCTGTGTTGTGCCTCCCTGGTAGAAACTCAGTCAGGAAGGAGTGTATCTTACATGTGGTTACTCTTCTGGAAGATTGCATGTAGTTAAACATTGGGTAAATTATTTCACGAGACTCCTAGATAAATTATTCTTCTTTAAAGTAGTAAGACCCCATGTCCTTTACTATTCAGGTGGCAGTGCTACAAAGAGTTGGCTGTCCTGGAGATCACCTCTTCCTTCTAAACCACATTCTCCGATGCCCTGCTGGTGTTAGTAAATGGGCCATTCCTTTCATCCAGGTATGATGAATGGTCTCCTAATTATGAGACCTGACGGTCTCCTAATTCTGAGGGGGGCGTTGTAGAGGTTTTATTAGACATTTTTCCTGAAGAAATTGCTAAAAAAAAGAAAAGGCTATTTAAAGAATATTGACATGTAAAATAAAATTCTTAAAATATATCCAGTATCTATATGTAGGAGTTTTTAATGCTGTAATTTGTTGGACTACCCACAGTTGAGGGACTTGTAATTTTATTTTTAAAATTAAAAAAATTTTTTTTTCTTTTGACTCACAGTCTCACTCTGTTGCCCAGGTTGGAGTGCTATGGCACAGTCACAGCTCACCACAGCCTCGACCTCCTGGGCTCAAGCGATGCTTCTGCCTCAGCCTCCCAAGTAGCTGGGGATACAGGCATGTGTCACCACACCTGGCTAATTTTTAGAATTTTCTGTAGAGACAGGGTCTCACTATGTTGTGTAGACTGGTCTCAAACTTCTGGACTCAAGGAGTCCTCCCACCTCGGCCTCCCAAAGTGCTGGGATTACAGGAGTGGGCCACCACACCCTACCATAATTGAGGAACTTATAATAGAATTGCACAAGTCTGGTTGTAGTGTAGCTGGGTAGGTTAGTAGTATTTAATTCTATAAAATTTCTATGCAGGAAGTTTCACCAGAATCTTTTTTCTGTAATACTCAACAAAACTTCCTAAATTAATCCATTTTGTACCACGGTTGGTACAGGTCAAACAGACCACCTCAGCTGGTTCCTTAACCCCAGCAGGGATCTCAGGTATGTGCGATCATCTTCCATGTGTTGGGAGCATGTACATAGTTCTTAGTTTCTCCTCTCTGCTGCTTACCTTTGGGTCACCGTGTTACCCACAGCAGCCCTGAAGTGTTTGCCAAGTCCAATTTCTCCACGTATTTTTTTCTGTAGTATTTCTGGTGGCAAGATGTCTGAATCTGTTTAGGTAGAAGCAGTTCTTGTTTTTGTTTTGTTTCTCCTTGGATGAGAGTAGCAGCAGTGGCCATCATCTGTGTTGCGGCACGTAGTTGGTGTAAGCTGGTGTGCCGCCTCTGCTCCATGTGAGCTGCACTCTGTGTTGAGCGCTGCCACCACTGCAGCCCCCAGGCTGCCAGGTCCTCCGTGTCCTTTGTGCCTCCCTCTGGTGGACTAGGTGCCAATTTCTGAGTTGTTGTCTTAACAGCAACTTCTGTGAGAACACATGTGAACCCAGATGTTGGATACTTGGGTTATTGACATTTTTACAGTGTGCTTTTTCCTCTTCTGATTTCAGATCAAAGTGTTTAATAACCCGTCAGGGGTCTTCCATTTCATGCAGTCCCTTGCCTTGCTGATGTCTCCTGTCAAGTAAGTGTGAAGAGCTGTGTACAGTAGAGGTAGAAGTGCCTCTTCCTCTCAGAGGGTTGTCTTCCTCAACAGCCCAGGTCCAAGGTTGACTGAGGGAGGTGTTGCTGTTCAGAACTTCACATGGCAGTTCCCTTCATGGCTGATATTCCTTATTTCTGATAGACTCTTTAGTTACTTACATATGGACATGCAACCTTTTTGGGACTCTCTGTTATTGGATTTGCCTCTCTTGTCATATACACCATTGTGAATGGTGCCACACAAAAAGAGAATCTTTTCCTTGAAAAAAGAGACTTAGTGCCAGAGGGAAAAAAGTCCAGTCAGAGGTTTAAGCTGGGTGGAGTGGTGCATGCAGTTAAGCTCAGCTACTTGGAGGCTGACATGGGAGGATTGCTTGAGCCCATGAGTTTGAGGCCAGCCTGGGCAACATAACAAGACCTCATCTTTTAAGAAAAGAGATTTAGGTGCTAACTTGTGAAGCTATGATTAATAAATTAAGAGAATAAAGAGTTGGTGAAGTGGCGGAGAGGGTCCCATGGTGGAGGAGCTGGGTGTGAAGATAGATGGGCCTCAGTAGGAGAGGAGGCATAGAGGTGGGAGATTAGTGGGAGCAAAGGCCTCCATCCAGGTGAGGGTAACTGTGCGGAGGACAGGCAGGAGGTGGGCTTAGCTGGAGGGAAGCAGTGTGCAGGAAATGGGTACAAAGATGAATGACTTGGGTGGGGTAAATCATAGAATTCTCTGAGATGACGGGAGAGAAATCTAGATTTGACATTGTCTGGGCTGTGTGGCAATTGAGGGTTTTTGATTGGGGGTAGAAGTTGTATTTAAGGAAGATTAGCTGGGCTGGAGACAGAAGAAGAATTTGCACCTTTGTTGAATTGAATGGTTCTAAGTGTCTGGCTCTCCTGGCCCTGGAACCCACCCCAGCATCAAGAGGGCACATCCTTAACTGGGGAGAAGTCAGGGTCTGTGTACAGGTAACCCTGAATAGTGTGACCACCACTGGCTCTCGGGTCCTGGCAAGCCTGTCTACCTCTAGGCCTGAACTGGGGCCATGGTGGTGGAAGAGATGAAGGGAATCTAAAAGTTACCTTCCCAGGTGAGGATTTAGTGGCTGATGAAGTAAAGACCATGGGAAGGATCGGGGCAGACATAACTTGAGACTGAGTCTGAGTAACTGCCAGGGCGTTGGCCCTAACAGACTGAGAAGATAAAAAGGAGGGCAGCTTAGTAAGGAGGAAAATTTGAGGCCATTGGTGCACACAGGTGGGTACATGCAAGTGACATGTTGCGTGGCCATCTGGAGCTCAGATCTAGAGCTTGCTGGGTTGAAAGGACAGCACTGAACTGCAGAGCTTATGAGTTTCTAGGGTCAGGGCCAAGAGGAAGGAGCAGAGGACTGAGGAGAGGAGCTTTTCTGGATATACCCACTCAGCTCTCCAGCCATCCCCCTGTGAGAGCCTGGTAGGCAGGATTTCCTGGTTCCTCCCCTCACTGCCTGGGTATGGGGGCCACTCCTGGCAGGCAGGACTCCCTGGATCTTCCCCTCACTGCCTAGGCATGGGGGTTACTCCTACACACGGTAGGTTTATGATTTGACTCACTAGCAGTTCTGTGCTTGTGTGTACTGTTTGGCCCTGGACAGGCATCTGCATGATCCTTTTTATTCAATACGCATGCTCCTAAAGGCATCTCCCTGGCATGCTTTGTGGCTGGGTGTGCATGCAGGCCCCGCATGTGTGCTGAGGTCCCACTGGACCAGGAGCTGTGATGGCATCTGCTTTCCTGCACGTGCTTGTCATGACTCAGAGTGATGGTGTTTTCTCCACTGAAGCCAGTGAGGTTTTGGCATCCTTGATTTTTAGCTAGGCCCTACCACTTGTTTACTGATTTAAGGCATTTGGAGGTTGGGTTGACATCTGACTCCTCCCAGGGTTAGTTGGTGGCCTGAATGTACTCCTGTGGGGCTTTCTGTGAACATGTGACCAACTTCCCTTGCTCTGTAGAAACCGAGCCGAGTTCATGTGCCACATGAAACCCAGTGAGCGGAAGTCATCCTCCTCGGGGCCTGGCTCGGGGACCTGGACGCTGGTGGACGAGGGAGGAGAAGAGGTAACTCGTCATATCTGCATTGTTTTGAGTAGTCATTCTGAGGTCTTCTTATATGCCAGGGTATTGTTCTAAGCACTTTGCGCATAGACTCTTATTTGATTCTCCTAGTGGCCCCATGAGGTAAAGACTGTTGTGATTCCCATTTTATGGGGTGGGATGCAGGGGTGAAGTACCTTGTCTCCAGCTACAGGGTTCTTAAGTAGGAGGCCGTAGGGCCTGTGCTTTGAGCCAGGGTGCTGTGCTACCCTTCTCTAGAACATTCTGTGTTCAGCGGGGGGAACTTGGCACCTGGAAATTAGCTGTATCATGTATAGCCTCTGCTTGGAGTTTATTTTATGTAACAAGCTTCTGGGGCCGGAACCTGAGTAATAAGCAGGTGGAGCTTACCAAGGGTCTCCCAGTTCCTAGGAACTTCCTATCCAGAGCTGCTTGTTTGAGAGTAGAAGATAATTTTCTGGTTTTGGTGAGAATTTAAGGATCAAAATCCAGCATCCTGAGACAGACACTTCTTCATTTTTCTTTCTGCTGTATACCTGGCTAGTGTACTTATAAGCAGTTTCCCCTCCAGCTATTTATAGACCTAGTGCTTTTTTCTGGTCCCAATCCTGGCTTGACATTTTTGTCCAGGATGGCTGGTGATGCATTTGTCATAGTCCCTCTCTTTATAAGGGGAAAAAGTGCACGGCAGACTGTTCTCAGGATGACTGTGGCAGCCGTGAGGCCATGTTAGTGTGTCTCCCTGAATGCTTGTTCAGAAGGGGATCCCTTCACAGTCACTGTCCTCTTCCTAGACATTCAGGGGTAGTGGAGGATGGTGTGCACGTGTAACTGTCTCTACTGCAGTAGAGACTGCAGACTACTGGTCATCTGAAAGAGGCTCAGGAATGCTGCAGAGAGATCTTTGCGAGATTGCCATGGAGCCGCAATCTTTTTTCTGGTAGTTTTCCTGTATTTAATTCCAGAGTCAGATGATGGTGCAGGGTCCTGCATTGATGCCTGGCTCCTGGCTAGTGCTCACGAAATGTTGAGTGAATTCAAGAACTTGGAGAATTGATGAGGTCAGGGTGCTGTGGAATCAGAGAAGTCTGTGGGGAGGAAGACTCTCTATACTGTCCTCAGTGGTGTCTCGATACTAACTGTGACGAGGTCACCTGGGCAACATTCAGACCTGGCCCAGGCCCGTACCCAGATGTCAGTTGATCTAGACCTTCCTGATGATTCTGATGTGCAGCCTGCTGGAAGTAGTTTAGAGGCTCTTGTTTATTATCCATTTTAGACACTGAAGAGAGTAAATAGCAAGCTAGGCATGGTGACTCATGCCTGTAATCCCAGCACTTTGGGAGGCGGAGGTGAGGGGATTGCTTGAGCTCAGAGACTTGAGACCAGTCTGGACAACTTGGCGAGACCTCGTCTCTACAATAAATAAAAAAAATTAGCCAGCCATGGTGGCATGCACCTGTGGTTCCAGCTACTTGGAAGACTGTGATGGAAGGATGGCCTGAGCCTAGCAGGTCAAGGCTGTGGTGGCTGTGAGCGTGCCACTGCACTCCAGCCTGGATGACAGAGTGAGACATCGATCCCCCCCCAAAAAAAAGTGGCGTAAGGAAATCATGAAAGACTTGCCTTAGTCTCTTGTTGAAATGGAGCTGATCTATTCTTCAGGTGTCGGGATTATTTTATATCCTTCGCTTTTTAATGTAGCAAATCTTATGACACAGGGCAACTTGGTTTCTTTTCTTTTTTTTTTTTTTAGTTGGAGTCTTACTCTGTCACCCAGGTTGGAGGGCAGTGGCACGCTCCCAGGCACCGCAGCCTCTACCTGCTGGGCTCCTGCAATCCTTCCGCCCTCAGCCTTCCAAGTAGCCAGAACTACAGGCACATGCTATCAGCCTGGCTAATTTTTGATTTATTGTAGAGACGAGGTCTCGCTAAGCTGCCCAGGTGGGTCTTGAACCCACGGGCTCAGGCATTCCTCTCGCCTCAGCCTCCCAAAGTACTGGGATTACAGACTGAGCCACCGAGCCCGTCATGCAACTTGGTTTCTAAGGTGACTTTAGACCTCGGAGATTTCCCTGAGTCTCTGTGTGGCCACTGTTGTTTTTATTGGTATTTCAGCAGCGCTAACTGACAACAGAGCTCCAGTCTTCCATAGCAAATATGTCGCTTCCTGGAAGTCTGTTGAATACTACAGGAGACCTTGATTTTGGCGGAAGAGCATAGCAGTTTAAATAAGTTGGACTCTAGTATGTGGTTCTTTAACTGATTTTGTCAAATCCCAGAGCCCCGTGGTGAGATCCCCTCTAGAGGAAGACTTTTCTCCACTTTCTTTGGGTCGGAAGTTTATTGAAAGCATTTTCAGTCACTGGCCATGACCCAGATACATGTAAAATTGTGCTTTCAGTTTCAAGGGATTTGCTGGCTATTTGTGGAACTGAGCCTATACGTTTCTGTCCTGGAGGAGAAGTCCATGAAGACTCATGAGACTGTCACATGTCTATACCATCGAGACCCGTGACAATCTAGACCAGAGTGTGGGCTGAGCACTCGCCAGCATGATTTTGCTTCTTTTCCCTTAGGATGAAGACCCTGAGACTAGTTGGATTCTCCTCAATGAAGATGACCTGGTCATCCTGTTATCACAGTTTCCGTTTCATGAACTTTTTCAGCATCTGCTTGGGGTCCAGGCACAAGGTAGGCTTGTTTGTTTGGTTGTAATGGGATGTGGTAGGGGTGAGCTCAGCACTGGAGCTCAGTGGCAGGCCTTCGTGTATAGGCCCAACTCAGGCTCTTCTGTGCTGGCTCTTCCACACTTGCTTGCTCTTGCACTTGTCGCTTTCCATTGTATTTGAACTTAAGAAGGCTGTCCAGCTTACACATTGCCCAGCTTAAATAAATTGTTTTTAATTCTGTACTTTGTCTTGTTTCCCATTTCATTTTGGCATAGAAGCAAGGGCAGTTGGATCGTTGATTCCTCTCCAATTGGGCCCTGGCTCCTTGCTAAAAGAATTTGCACACCTGTGTCTTTCAGGATTTTTTTCATAGTAATTAGCATTTTCTCCTTTTATTTGATGAACTTCTAGGTGATTATTTACCTGAAACAACCAGACCTCAAGAGATGATGAAGATTTTTGCCTTTGCCAACTCACTCGTGGAGCTCCTAGCTGTGGGGCTGGAAACCTTCAACAGGGCACGCTACAGGCAGTTCGTGAAGCGTATTGGCTACATGATCAGGTGATGCTGAGCTGCCTGGTGCTATGCTATGACTGTCCCCAGCTCAGACGCAGACACCGCATGACTGGGGCAACGGACATTATAGTGGTGTGCTTCATACTTCAAGTGTTAGTTCTCACAAAGGAAGATTGATTCCCGTCATAACTGAATATTCCCAAGTGACCGCGTTCTCCCACCCCAGATGGCCTCACAGGCCTCCCTGTTGTAATGGCCTCTCCCCCATTCCAGTTGTTCAGGCTGATACCTGCCATATCCCCAGCTGTTTTCTTTCTTCTACGGGTTACATCTAGTCTAACCGCAAATTCTATCAACTCTACCTTTAAAATACCATTTTCCATCAAATCTAAGGTGTGACCAATTCTAAAGATGTATTTTGTGTGCCAGTGAGACAGAAAAATGCTACCAAATTAGGGAATCAGGCCATCATTGTGAACAGACATTCCAGTTGCAGAGATGTTGGTGTGGAAGACGTGCATTCTTGTGGATCAATGAACATGCTCTTTCCAGAACCTAGTCTTTTCCAGAACCCAGTCTCTCCCTGCCATGTCCAGTCAACCACTCCGTTCATTCCTAAGCCTCCTGAATTGCCTCCTTGCTCTGATCCTGCCCTCCCACCATCCCTGCTCCCACCCTGTTCATTCCTGAGCCTCCTGACTTATCTCCCTGCTCTGACGCTGCCAGCCCCCTCCCCACTGCAGAGTGTTCTCACAGCTGCTGGTGTTCCCTGGGAGCCATGAGCCAGTGTTTGCTCTGCTCAGGACCCTGCTGTGGTCCCTGTCACACTCAGTCCTCATGGGGGTCTGTGGGGACCTTCCTGGCCTGGCTTCCTGCCACTTGTCTGATTTTGTCTCTAGCAGTCTGCCCCTCACTCACTCTGCTTGAGTGCCTGGCCTCCGTGCTATACCTTAAATGTACCTGACACCTCTCGCAGCCTTCATGCTGGCAGTTCCCTCCTGCTATACACTCTTCCCATAGGTGTGCTGGTGGGTGCCTCCTTGCCATCTTCCACACTGCATCAGATGTCCCTCTTCAGCAAGGATCCTGCTCTAGCTAGCCTCGTTACCCTGCCCATCCCTCCATCTCCAGACGATCTTTATTTCCCTCTGCTCCCCTGTTTTTCTCAATGTCATGTACAATCCTGTGACAGGATATATATTTTACCTTATTTTGTTTATTGTCTGTTTGCCCTTCACCAAATGTAAGCTCCATGAAAGTGGGTTTTTTAATGTTCTCCATTGTATTACCTTCACTGCAGTACCTATGTTACCTGAAAGATAGTAGGTACTCAGTAAGTATCTGTTGAGGCCTGGCAAAGTGCCTGTAATCCCAGTGCTTTTGGGAGGCTAAGGTGGGAGGATTACTTGAGTCCAGGAGTTTAATACTGCAGTGAGCTATGATCATGACATGGCACTCCAGCATGGGTGACAGAGTGAGACCCTGTCTCTAAAAAAACCAAAAAACCTGCTGTGTAAATGAATGCTTCAGATGTCACTTAAGGGTGCTGCCACTGAGTGAGCTAATGGAAAGTGCTGTGCCGTTTCTCCTGCTCAGGTTGACGCTTGGTTATGTGAGTGATCACTGGGCACAGTACCTGAGCCACAACCAAGGCGCAGAGGCTGCCCTGCTGCCCTACTCTGTGGAGAAGCTGCAGGTTGAATTTGATGAGCTGTTTTTGAGAGCCGTCCTGCACGTGCTGAAGGCCAAGAGGTAGGACACATGGTGTTGCCCACTGGGAGGCTGCTCCCTGATGAGACAGCAAGGTGGGGGAGATGGTCTGCCCAAGTAGCTCTCATCTGTGGCGCCTTGGTGGGTTTCATCTGCCTCTCTTCTAGGGCAAATGCCGGTGCCTTAGTTTCCCATCTGTAGTGCACCTCTGTGCCTGGAGTGACCTCTTTCTTTGTCTCAAAATAACCCAATTCTCATGTGTCAGTTTTTTGCTGTTCCTGAATTGTTGGGGCAGGCTGGAGCAGGGACAGCAAGAATGAACTCAGTCACACACCCTACTGCAGTGCCTGCAGTGGTGGGGCACAGTAGGGTGCACAGATGACTTGCCATCACTGTTCAGATAAAGGTCTGGGAATGTCAGGCACCTTGGTGTCTTCCCTGACTGTGTAAGCACTGTCTTCTGATGGCGCTATCTGTGCCAGCTCCACCCAGAGCCCACCCAGCTCCACCCACAAGCCCACCCAGCTCTACCATGACCCCACCCAGCTCCACCCATGACCACCCCCCTGCCCATAACCCCACCCAGATCTACCCATGACCCCGCCCAGCTCTGGCCATCAACTCCCCCTCTCTCCTTGTTGGCCTACCCCTGAGTTTGTTGTCTTCCCTCCCTTTTGCCATGCGACTCGGCCTTAGTCCCTGATTTCTTGTGTATCTTGTAGAGTTTGAGTGTTGGTCTGCCACTTGCTGTTACCCTGGGCAAGTTACTTAATAGTTATGGTCTCACTTCAATTATAAATGGAGGTAATAATAATGACTGCTTCATCTACCTCACAGGTATGTTATAAGAGTGAGTGTCAGAATACATAAAAATATTTTTCTTTTTTTCTGAGTCAGAGTCTCACTCTGTTGCCCAGGCTGGAGTATAGTGGCACGCTCACGGCCGCTGCAGCCTTGAGCTCCTAGGCTTAGGCGATCCTTCCGCCTCAGCATTCCAAGTAGCTGCAACTACAGGCATGTGCCACCATGCCCAGCTAATTTTTTGATTTACTGTAGAGACGAGGTCTTGCCACATTGCAACTGGTCTTGAACCTGTGGACTCAGGCAATCCTCTCGCCTCTAACCTCCCAGAGTGTTGGGATCACAGGCATAAGCTACTGCGCCCGGCCGGAAATACTTTTCAAACCATAAAGGACTTTTCAAACCATTAAGTGGGGGTTGTTCTTGTGTGGTTTTAGATGGAGAACAGAGTAACTTAGAGACTTTGAGAAGGATCAGGACTTCTGAGTTATGTTAGCTGTTTTTAGGTGTTCAGGTCACAGGTCTGGCAAAAACTCAAGGCACAGGGCTAGCATAAGTAGACTGTGGATGGAGACATTTTGATTACCCTTGATTCACATATACTGTGAGTTGTTCTCATGGATGCACTGAATCCTGCAGAGCCGGGCAGCCGCACCCGAAGCCGGATGCTTCAGCAAAGCTGGGTGTCGCTTGGGAATGTCTTCTGTCCCTGCTCTTGCTTGCTTTGCTGAAGGCAGAGCCTCGTCCTAGCTCCTCACAGCACCTTTACCTGAGTGGTGAGCCCCACCCATAGCTTCGTACATGTGATTCACAAAGGGGATGGTTTACATTGTAAAATGCTGAGAGCTGTTGTTCTTGAGTATAATTTATTTTAGGAAATAAATTATATGAGAATCAGATATTTGACACTCTGATGGAAATTTCTGACAGTGGCTATCCTTTAAACCTAAAACTAAACCAAACCAAAAAGTAGACAACAAAAACATATACAGACTTCTGGCCTGTCTGCCATGGAGGGAATCTTAAAGCCTTACATATTCTGTGTTGTGACATCAGTTAAGGCCTTCAAATTCCTCGTCATTGCTTTGGGGCTATAAAAAAGCGTCAGGTCTCATGGGAGGGTGGTGGCATAATTAACAACATAGAAGCCTGGCCCCTGAACTTACAGAAGTGTCCCACCTTTTGCCTGGGAGTGTAGTTGGCTTTTACAGATCCAGTAAGTGTGGATTTGGGCCACCAGTTGCTTGCCTGGGTTCACAGATGTGGTGTGGGCATACGTTATTCACTTCTTTTTTCTTTGTTTCTTAATAAGCTTGGTTTACTTGTAATTGGTCCATCTGTAGTTGTGCCCCGGATATAACAACAGCTTTGAGGGGCTCCTTGTATTTCTAATTAAGATTTTTAAGAAATCATGATAAAATTAACAGTTTTAATAAGCATCTGTTGAATGCTGATTGTTTTTGAGATCTGTGTTCAGGCTCCAGTTACAAGTGGGCTTCTATAATGATGAACAGGACCCAGCTTCTGCTCACAGATTGCTGGGAGACTGGCATATGTGCTAGCATGTGTATGTGAATTACATTACCTCCAGGAGTTCCTCACCACCCAGGTTAAGAATCACTTGACTCTGAGTCGCCAAGGGTGACTAAAAGGTGCAAATTCTTGGGCCCCATCCATGACTTACACAATCAGGGTCTCCCTAAGGGGGCTAGGGCATCCAGTTTCCCACGGAGTTCCCAGGTGACTTTTCTGCCACTGTGTGTAAGAAACACTGATGGCAGGTGTGACGATGGGAAGTTGGGGTGGATGGAATTCTGTAACAGGAGGAGACCTGAGGAGGCCCCACTTGGAGAGACTTGGGCCCGGAACAGGGTTCTCTCCAGGCTCATGGGAACTCAAGAACATTCTGAATGCAGAGTAGGCTCTGGGTGGGGATATGGGCCTACGCTGGTCATGGATGCCTCTGAATGTGCCCAAGGAGTTTGAACTGTACTCGGTGATCAGTGAGGAGTCACTGGGTGGGTTTTGGTTCTCCTCCCACCCACTGCACACATGTCTGTGTGCACATGTGTGCCTGTACATGGACTCAGATGCACACATCTGCCACTAGCACCTTCTAGATTTCTTTTTCTTTCTTTCTTTTTTTTTTAAACTTGGAGTCTCACTCTTTGGCCCAGACTGGAGTGTAATGGCACACTCACACCCACTACAGCCTCTACCTGCTGGGCTCAGGTGATCTTTGCCTCAGCCTCCTGAGTAGCTGGGACTACAGGCATGTGCCACCACGCCCAGCTAATTTTTTGATTTATTATAGAGACGAAGTCTCACTGAGTTGCCCAGGCTGGTCTCAAACCCCTGGGCTCAGGCAGTCCTCTTGCCTCTGCCTCCCAAAGTGCTGGGATTACAGGTGTGAGCCACCATGCCTGGCTGATTTCTTTTTCTTAGAGATGGGGTCTCATTCTGTTGCCCAGGCTGTAGTGCAGTGGTGTGCTCTTAGCTCACTGCATCCCCTAGACTCAAGTGGTCCTCCCACCTAGCTGGGACCACAGGTGTATACCACCACCCCTGGCTAGTTTTCTTTCTTTTTTTTCTTGTGGAGACAGGGTGTCACTGTGTTCCCCAAGTTAGTCTTGAACTCCTGGTCTTTATCAGTCCACCCGCCTCAGCCTCCCAAAGTGTTGGGATTACAGGCATGAGCCACTGTACCTGATCTCCACACCACTCTGTGCCTTAGTGGCTTCATGTGTGACTTGGGGATAATATAAATACTTGTTGCCTGGGTTTTGGTGAGGATGGACTGAGTTGACATTGTACATGCATGTATACACTCACATGTACACGTACACATATATACACATGTGCATGCATGTGTTGTAGCAATTGGAACAGTTCTTGGCACTGACAAAGTGCTTTGTGAGTTTGCTGATCTTGTTATCCATCCTTGAGTTGTTTTGACTGTGAGAGCTGGAGCTCTGTCCACGCTTAGTATGTTCACGCTGACTAATAAGTGGTGCCCACTCTTCTTGAAACTCACAGACTTGGCATTTGGCTGTTCATGTCTGAGATGCCGTTCGGGATGCTGTCAGTTCAGATGCTCTGGAAACTCTTCTACCTCATGCATCAGGTGGAGTGTGGAAGCCTGCAACCTCCCGGTGCTGCCCTGCAGCCGGCCCAGTGCAAGCAGCGGCTCCAAGGTACTACCCACTCTTCCCTCCCTGTTGCCTTTCTCTTTACTTCTAGGACGGAGGGAGGACACTATGCCCTACCTAGGTGCAATGTTCGAGAAGTACAGACATGGCCTTGCTGTGTTGATCTGAGAGCAGCTGGTACCTCTGAAATGCAAGGACGAGTCCTGGTGTGTTATGGTATAGTCTTCTCTTTTAGGGAGCACTTTTCAGCCTGTGTATGTGAAATCATTCTAGTTTATAGTCATATTAACAGATCTGTATTACTCATCTAGAAATAATATTAAAGTTTTGTGCCCAATTGTTCCGTTAATATCTTTTATTACTTTTTTAAAAGTTATATATGTATATGTATATATATATGTGTATATATGTGTGTGTATATATATACACATATATATATTAGATTAGAAAATATAGTTTACTTAGAAAGTAAATTAGGGAGAGAGAGATAGAGAGAGAGAGAGAGAGAGAGGAGATTCACCTCCCCAAGGTAGGAGAGGGGGCCAAAGCCTGGAAACATGGCGACAGCCATAACTCTGAGAGCACATGGCCACACCAGAGTCTAGTAAGGCAATGGCAAGTTATGTGATTTTATGAACTAGTCAAAGATACAGGCAGGTGTACTCTAAAAAAAATTCTGATGAAAACTTGGTAAGTTTTAATGTCTCACCATTCCTGAACTAGAGGTATTTATTTGTAACAAAAGTATAATGTTAAAAGTGGAAGCCGGGCTCGGTGGCTCAGCCTGTAATCCCGCGCCTTTGGGAGGCTGAGGTGAGTGAATTGCCTGAGCCCGCGGGTTCGAGACCCGCCTGGGCAGCGAGACCTCATCTCTACAATAAATAAAAAAAAAACCAGCCGGGCGTGGTAGCGCATGCCTGTAATTCCGGCTACTCGGAAGGCTGAGGCAGAAGGATCACCGGAGCCCAGCAGGTCGAGGCTGCAGTGGCCGGGAGCGGCCACTGCACTTCAGTCTGGGCGACAGAGTGAGACTCCGACTCAAAAAAAAAAAAAAAGTGGAAAAAACATCAGATTTTTAAATTGGTCATATAGTATAATGATTTTTAGGAATTACTCTGTACAGTAAAGAAAATTCTGGTAGAAAATATATAAAAATACGAATAGGATCTTAAAAGCTGCCAAAAGCGAATTCTGTTTTCCAGATTTTCAAGTGTCTGTATCTTTTCAAAGAAAACCATAAGCTTTAACAGTTATTGTGCCTTCAGCATTAGCAGAGCAGTTTCTGCAGATGTTCCTGGCTTAGTTTCTTCTCTCTGTTCCTCTGTTTCTGGATTGACTCCTCCGTGCTTCCACTTATCTTTCTCCTTTTTGGGCTCCGCGTGAGTCCAGTTTTGTCTCTGCTTGTGTCTTTCCTTTGTCTCTTTGATAGCAGCCCTAGACTCTTTTGCCTTGTTCTGCTTCACCAAGGGTCTCTGTCCTGAGGGAGGTTTCCCCTAGACTGGTTGTATGAGTGAGCTGGGTGGGAGGACACACAGCCACCACCCATCCCTGGCAACTGATTCTGCAGTGAGATACAGAAACAGACATTTCCTCTGGAGGTTCCTGGGGTGGTGAATAGCACTCCTTCCGGTGGTACAGTTTCAGAGATCTCCCTTATGGTGGCATCTCCCTGTCTGCCAGGCTCTGAATTAGCACCGTGGCTGGTATTGCTGGTGAGCCAACTGGCTTTGGAGGGGATGTAGCTCCAAGGACGCAGCCCCCTCGACTCTCCCTGGAGCCTGGGTACCTCTGCTGGAGTTTCCTTTCTGGCCTGCAGGCTCCCATGGCCCCTAGAGCTCTCTCTTGCAGCCTGTGGCAGCTGGCACTAGAGTCGCTGTGGCCTAGGGACATGTCATCTGCCTCAGTAGGGTCTAGCTGCAGGAATGTGGTCTATTGCAGACTTAATCTTCTTGCCCTGATTTGCTATTTTTTGTCTTCTCGTTTGCTCCATCTTCTAGTTGATTTTTATCATGTTTGTGGAAGAGCAAGGCTTTTTATTTTACCTTCCTAACATAATGTTTTTAACAAATTCTAGAAGTTCTGACCCTTCATAGCCAATCCTTATTTATCTGGGGTGGTAGGGATAGGGTGAACCTGACATCACAGTTTCCAGAAAATGAATTTTAAACAGTTTTCACATTTCCTAACTAGCAGACTTCTCAGCAGTGACTGTGACAAATTGGCCTGTCTTAATTTGGCTTGTTTGTCCCTAGTATGAGCAACAAGATGTGGTGTCATTAACAAATGTGGTGGTAAATAAATGTAGAGATGTGTTTCTCTTGCTTGTCCTTAAAGTTGATGTTTTAAAAGCCAATTAGCCAGTTATTCACATTGTTCTTTTTATGGAATTCTCTTCCTTGGTATATACCTTAAACTTTGTGAGTTAGAATTCCAATAGTCATTATTCTGGGAAGCGCTGTACAGTAGTTTCCATTGTGACCCTAACTTGGGGTGGGAAATGGAAGTTGGTTTGGTAAGGGCTGCTAGAGTCATTTAAAAAATGGTGTACACAGCTGGGTACGGTGGCTCATGCCTATAATCCCAGCACTTTGGGAGGCCGAGGTGAGAGGATTGCCTGAGCCCATGTGTTTGAGACCAACCTGGGCAACATGGTGAGACCTCATCTCTACAATAAAATTAAAAAAAAATTAGCTGGGCATGGTGGCGTGCGCCTGTAGTTCCAGCTACTTGGATGGTTGAGGCAGAAGGATTGCTGGAGCCCAGCAGGTTGATGCTGGGGTGGTTGTGAGCATGTCTTGGCACTCCAGCCTGGTCGACGGAGTGAAACTCCAACTAAAATAATAATGTTAATAATAACATAAAAATGCAGTACATTTGGTGCACTACCTTTGATTTCTCAAATGTGTAAACTTGAAAAGAATTTTTGGCTTGTTATCTTCTTGCTGTGAAAACTTCCATCAGGAGGGTATATGTATTTATTTTTAAAGTTTATTTTATATTATTTTATTTAAGATACTGGATACAATTCAGTATTAGGTAGATTTTCTTTCTCCTCCCTCCACAAAACTGCAATGCCTAACTTTCTGTTGTGTATAGCAAAGTAGTCTATACACTTGCAGCCTTGAACTCCTGGGCTCAAGTGATCCTCTCTCCTCAGCCTCCTGAGTAGCTGGGACTACAGATGCATGCCATCACATCCTGCCACTACTACCTACTAGTGGCAGGATGTGGTATTTCTTATATGGCATCCCCTGAGAAGTAGCCAGAACATGTATTTACTGTTGAGTAAATCTGTCAGCATTTTGGTTATGGCTATAACTAATTTATTTCTCTACCTTTTAAAATCAGCAAATCTCTTTTACTTGGAATGCCATGCTTGTACCAAGTGGTTTGCTGATCTTAGGGTTTTCATGAGTAGGGTCTTCCTTTGTTCATTGGCTGACAGTCTCAGGCAGCTTCAGGTGGGCTTTTGACATTGGCATTTCCTGCCTTTGAAGGTGATTCGTCTAGTGACAGCGGTAGTGCCTTGCAGCTAACAGAGCTCTTCACCAGTAACGCTCCATTCAATCTTATTCAACAACTTTTGAGGCAGATGAGGAAACTGAGGCTTAGAGATGTTGAGTGCCCCATCTGAGGCATGTTATGTTTAGAACTGGTTGGAATTTCAGAGACCATCTGGTCCAACCTTCTTCCTTATGCCCAGGGAAATCCATTTTGGAACAAAGAAAGATCTTTGGTGTCTTCAATATTTCCTAATGTCTTTTAGTTATATTATTCTTTTTCTCTGGAAGAGTGATTCAAGTACATCATTTATTCTTTCCCCACTTTAATTTTCTTGGTATGAACCTGCAGACCCAGAACACTTTGCAAATGTCGAGAAGTGTCTGTCTTCCATGAACAGCTCAGAGGAGATCTGCCTTCTGACAACCTTTGCGCAGATGGCTCAGGCCAGAAGAGCTGATGTGGATGACGACTTCATAAAGATTATTATTCTGGAGATATATGAGGTTAGAATATGAAGTTGTATGAGTCAGCTAAACAAGGTTTGGGGTTGTCTGTCTGTTGCTGCTTTGAGGATTGCTTTTAAAAAAGGTGACTTACTGACCTACTTCCAGAAGCTGCTCTTATGGAAGGGTAGAGAGAATCAGAGGAACATCATTTTGCTACTGGGAATATGGAACATATGAATTATGCCCATTCCATTTCCCACTGTATCTTTTCACATTGGATGCATGAGTTTTTAAGGAGTAGATAAGTAGCACAACCTGACACTTGGAGTTTTTATACTGTTTATCTCACCCACCTTTCCCCCAAAACCTCACTCCATTCTTCCTAGTAATGGAAACCTGACTTCCAAGCCAATTTAATTTAAGTGAGGTGGTGGAAGTAATCCTGAACCTGGAGTTAGGATGACTGGACTTTAACTCTGGTATTAATTGCCAGTCTCACATCTAAAAAGATAACTTGCCACCTGGGACAAGTGAAGTTCTGCTTTACTTGCAAAAAAGTTTGTAAATGTGTCTTGACTGATAATTGGTATTCAAAATGCTGTCTTCCTGGCCTTCCCCTTGCCTCCCCCATCTAGGTATCTTATGTCACCCTGTCCACCAGAGAGACTTTCTCAAAAGTTGGTCGAGAACTTCTAGGGGCCATCACAGCTGTTCACCCTGAGATGATTTCTGTCCTTTTGGATAGAGTTCAAGAGACCATTGACCAGGTTGGGATGGTAAGAGCATTGCCTATATATTTTTTTTGTTTTTGCTTTTAAAATCCTAAAGTAATGGAACATGGCAAAAATAGGGGGGTTGTTGGGAATGTCAGGGACACAACAGGTCGAAAGTATCCTACACTGCCAGGCTCCATGTTCTCACCATGCCAGCTGGGGATGAGGTGCTGCTTATAAAATGTTGTGATTGTTTCTTTCAAATTTCAGAGTTGACTTTGACACCTCCGTCAATAACAGGTTATTTTAATTATAACATATTGTTAATTAACAATTTTTAGCCAAGCACAGTGGCTCATGCCTGTCATCCCAGCACTTTGGGAGACGGAGGTGAGAGAATTGCCTGAGGCCAGAGGTTCGAGATCAGCCTGGACAACTTGGCGAGACCTCATCTCTATAATAAATAAAAATATTAGCCAGGCATGGTGGTGCATGCCTATAATTCCAACTACTTGGAAGACTGAGGCAGAGGGATCACCTGAGCCCAGCAGGTCAAGGCTGTGGTGGCCATGAGTGTGCCACTGCACTCCAGCCTGGGCGACACAGTGAGACTCCAGCTCAAAAAAATTAAAAAATTTAAAAAAGGAGGAAAAAAACCTAATTTTTATTTTATAATTTGTTTGACTTTCAAAATTCTTGTATTTTATACTTGGAAGAAAAACAACTGTGACTAAGAAAGATGGCCCTGTTTAAAATCAGTCAGAAGCAAAATTAAAATACGTAGTAATTTAAATTGAGCAAGACATAGATATAGTTTATTTCTGGGATTAGTCACAATCCCTTTTGCAATCTTCATGTAGTTTTAAAAAAGTTTTCTTGAGCTATAACTCACATACCATACAATTCACCTATTTAAAGTGTACACGTCAGTGTTTTTAGTATACAAAGGGGATCCGAAAAAACCCGGAATTATCTTTGGAGGGCAGGCCCCTTGTAGTGCAGGCTTCCCTTACTAGCTAAGTGTTGTAAGGAAACCATCAGTATCAGTGTACCAGTTAGTGTTGTGAGAGACTACATTCGGCTTCAGTGAAAATTTTTTGGAGATTCTTTCAACGCATTTGCCCATTTTATGATGGATGATTTATGAGTGTACCTACCCACACTGTGCTGAGTATTCAGCAGTTTTTGACCAAAAACAACATGACCCATATGCCCCACCCTCCCTATTTACTCAATCTTGCCCTGAGTGACCTTTTTTTTGTTTGTTTCCCTGGATGGAAAAAGTTCTCAAAGAGAAATGTTTTGCTGATGTGGAAGAGGTGAAACAAAACAATAGCTTTAAAACCGACAAATTCAAAAATGGTTTTGAGCTGGAAGGCTGAGGCGGAAGGTTTGCCGGAGCCCAGCAGGTCGAGGCTGCGGTGGCCGGGAGCGGCCACTGCACTCTAGTCTGGGCGACAGAGTGAGACTCCAACTCAAAAAAAAAAAATGGTTTTGAGCAATGGAAAAAGCATAGGTGTATCACATCAAACGGAGAGTACTTTTGACTGACATTTAAACATATAAGAATAGATACACAACTTTTTATAAGTAAATTCCGGGTTTCATTTGGTCCTCCCTCTTCACAGATCTGTGCAACTCTCTCCCCAGTGAATTTTAGAGCATTTTCATTGCCTCAAAAGATGCCCTACACACTTTAGCCATCACTCTCTATTCTCCCATCCGTCCAGCGCTTAGCAACCACTGACCTACTCTTAGTCTCCATAGATTTTGCCTGTTCCAAATGTTTTATGTAGATGGAATCATGTAATATGTGGTCTTGCATGACTAGTTTTTTTTCATTAGCATAATATTCTCAAGGTTCACCCATGTTGTAGTATCAGAATTCACTTCCTTTTTAAGCCTGGTTAGTAATTCCATTGTACGTCTATATCTCATTTTGTTTATCTATTCATCCACTTGTGGACACTTGGGTGGCTTCTATCTCTTGGCTGCTGTGAATAATGCTGCCGTGAACATGGTGTACAAACCCTTGCTTCTGGTTCTTTTGGGTATAGACCCAGAAGTGAAATTGCTGATTATGTGGTAAGACTATTTTAAATTTTCTCTTAGCCTAGACTGGAGGACAGTGGCACAAGTACAGCTCACTGCAGCCTTGAACTCCTGGGCTCAAGTGATCCTCTCTCCTCAGCCTCCTGAGTAGCTGGGACTACAGATGCATGCCATCACATCTGGCTAATTTTTTTTTCTTTTCTTTTCTTTTTTTTCTTTTGTAGAGGTAAGGTCTTGCTATGTTGCCCAGGCTAGTCATGAACTCCTGGGCTCAAGCAGTCCTCCCATCTCAACCTCCCAAAGTACTAAGATTACAGGCTTGGGCCACTACACCTGGCCACTTTTTCCTTTTTAAAAAAACTTTGTATCCTACTGGGAGATGATTATATTGAGATTAAAAAAAAAACCCCTTCATATACAGTTTAATGCAATGGGAAGTTTTTGGATCCTTCTATTTGAATGATGTACAGGGGGTCATAGGATTCTTCTAGTTTGGGCTCATGACATATTTCTCTTAAGTGTTTTCCTGTTTTTGGCTACACTGAACATTTTTAATTTGGCTGTAATACCTCTCGTAGTCAACTGTGCCCAGAGATCTGCTTTACGTTATGTGTAAAAATGGAAACCATGTTTCTTAGAACATATCTTCCGTGAGATGCCTCCATTCTGGGTTTATATATAGATGTGGTTCCCTTGTGCTCTGTGAACTTGCTGAGGTTTTTGGAGGGCCTTCATGAATATGTTGGCTTTGTCTATTGACCTTGACCTTGGGCTAGCTCCAGAATCTGGGAATGAGCTGTGACTGGGGGCTCTGACCTTTCAGTAAGTCACTTGGTGTGTGTCTGAAGACAACTTTTTGTTCTAGAAGGCCAGTATGAGAGGGCACATCCTGTCTGAAGATTGCTCTGGGTTAGGGTAGTATTTTGCTTGTTCTGTCAGATACTTGACAAGGACCAAGCCACTTGGGAGATCCCAAAGTATAGAACTCAGAGGTATATTTGGTGACAACCTGCAAACTGATGTTGTATTTTCCTTATAATTTCAAAAATTGGCTTACTTTGGAGGACACATCCTACTTTTGTTGCAAAATCCCTGTATCTTCCCTTTAACCTCTTCAAATGAAATTAGCGATCTTTTGACTTTCAGGGAAAGCACAAATATATTTTAAAATACACTATATAAATCCTGTATTGTTGAGAATTCTTACAGAATTCTTCATTGGATTCCTCTATTCTAACTAAAATGCCTTCCATTTCTTTTTCTTGCCTTATTGCATTGACTCTAGGCCCTTTATTACAATATTAAATAAAAGTAGTGAGAATAGATATTCTTACCTCATTCCCTGTCGTAGGGAAAGGGTTTGCAAGTTTATCCTTAAGTATAGATTTTTTTAATTGATGTTTTATTTTAGTCTGGGGAAGTTTCTTTCTGGTTTCAATTTGAGTACTCTTTTCGTGAATGGCTGCTCAAGTGTTTTTTTTTCTTCATCCATTGAGATGATTATTTTTTTTCTCCTTTATTCTGTTAATATGGTGAATTACATTGACTGTTGCACCATTTTTTTTTTCTGGAATAAAAACCATTTGATCATCGTATGTTATCCTTTTTAGATATTGCTAGCTTCAATTTGATAAAATTTTGTTGACATGTATTCACCAGGGATATTGATCTGTCATTTAATTTCTTGTTGTATCTTCATTACATTTTAGGGTTATGTCAGCCTCACAGGTTGGAAAGTATTCTGTCCTCTTGTGTTTTTTTGAGAGTTTTTGTAAAATTGCAATCAATTATTTTTTGAATGTTTGCTAGACCTTTTCAATGAAATCATTAGGGCCTGAAGTCTTGATAGCAAACTGAATTTATTTGACAGATATGGAACTATTCAGATTTTTATTTTTTTCTTGAACCAGTTTTGGTAAGTTATGTTTTTAAAGGGATTTTCCTGTTTCCTCTGACTAGTGGAGTGCATTGACATAGAGTTGTTTACGATAGTCCCTTTATAACCTTTAATATCTCCAGGCTCTTTCCCGATACCTCCATTTTCATTATTGATGGGCAGATCCAGCCATGATTTTGTGTAACTGGGATAGATGCTTTTCTGGACAGATCTTCTTGCTGTATTGATGTCTTAGCACTACTGTTTTGCTTGTTCTGTCCAATACTTGCAGGGTAAAGTAGGACTTTCCTGTATTTGAAATTATCATTTTACTATTTTATTTAGGAGATTCAAGACTTTTGTTAATTAATCCTCATGAAAGTTTAACAAAAATGCACACATACAAAAAATAAAAAGAAAGGAAGGGTCTCTCTTAAATGTTTTCTTCCTTCTATTTAAAAAAACTGTGTCTCCAGTTTGGAAAGGAACCTGAAAAATGCTAGTGTGTGTGTTCTAGACCTATGTTGTTCGGTATAGTAGCCACTAGGCACATGTGACCATAGAGCCCTTGAAATGTGGCAGTCTAAGCTGGAATGTGCTCCAAGTATAAAATACTCAATGAGTCTTGTAGACTTTGTTGGAACAAAAGTCATACAACACATCTCAACAAATTTTTGTAACAATTAAATGTTGAAATCCTAATATTTAGGACATCAGATTAAATAATATATATTATTAATTTTAAAAATAATATATATTATTAATTTTAATTTTACTTGCTTTTTTTGACATTAAAAAATCTTAGGCTGCTAGAAAAATTAAAATTACGTATATGACTTTCATTATATTTTCATATACAGCACTGTTCTAGATGTTATGGAATGAATTGCTTGATCTTCCTTAAAGTAAACTGCATTAATTGCACTCAGATTTATCTTAATTTGTTCACATGGATACATTATGTAAAAAGTAGTTCTATAGACTTTTTGTAAACATGGTTTAAAAAATTGTATTATAAGATATTTCAAATGCATACAAAAGGGTGATAACAGCGTAATGAATCTCTGTGTGCCCACATCAGGCATCACGAGTTATTAACACTTTGTTGATCTTGTTTCATCTGCATGCCCATCTACTCCTTGTCCCCCTGCTCCCCCTGCCCAGATTGCTTTGAAGCCAATAGAAATATCTTTTTAGATGCCATAGAATAAATAATTAAGTGCTAATTTTTTTGTAAAGTTTGTTTCTTGGTGTGGTAGTTTATCTAAACTGAAGTGTACCAATTTGCATATTAAAAAGATTGATCTTTACAAAGGATTGTAAAATGTGCTTCTGATGTAGCAACAGTTTTTTGTTTTTTTTTTTTTTTGGAGTCTCACTCTGTCACTCAGACTGGAGTGCAGTGGCTGCTCCTGGTCACCACAGCCTTGACTGCTGGGCTCTGACGATCCTTCTACCTCAGCCTTCCAAGTAGCTGGAACTACAGGCGTGTGCTACCACGCCCGACTAATTTTTGATTTATTGTAGAGATGAGGTCTTGCCAAGTTGCCCAGGCAGGTCTCGAACCCACGGGCTCAGGCAATCCACTCACCTCGGCCTCCCAAAGTGCTGGGATTACAGGCTGAGCCACCAAGTCCGGCCCATAGCAACAGTTTTAATGCCCAGTTGATCTGGTTATCCATGATATCCATTTCATTTATCTAAAGTCAAACAAAATCCCACTTCCTGTTGGAGAAAACTTTTTGCAAGCAGTTTAATACGGTAGTACTATAATATGGGATTGTCCCTATAGGATTTTAATGATTACTGTTTTCTTTTCAATAAGGTTTCTCTGTACTTGTTTAAAGAACTGCCTTTGTATCTTTGGCGACCTTCTGCCTCTGAGATAGCTGTGATTCGGGACTGGTTGTTGAATTACAACCTGACAATGGTGAAGAATAAACTGGCCTGTGTTATTCTGGAAGGACTGAATTGGGGATTTGCGGAACAGGTATGTGTTAAAGCCACTCCCTAGAGACTGCAGTTCCATGTGCCTTAGTTTCCAAGAAGCATTTTCTCAAAACATTAACATTTCAGAGTATCCTTTGCATGGGCTACAAATTCCTTAGCTGTATTAGAGTTTAGGATCTTTTCTTTAATTCTTTTACAGATTGAGCAACCACTGAATGAAGATAAATTGTCCCACAGTGAAAATATGTCCCTTTTTCCCTGGGCCACGTGCATGTGGTATTGTATCTCTGACCAGTCACTGTGGCTCCTCCCAATTTCCTCTTCCGCCTCTGGCCCCTCTTCCTCCTGTAATTTGTCTTGTAAGTCATTGCCAGAGTTGTCCTCTGAACACTGTGCATTGGTAAAGAGTCTGATTTCTGAGCCAGCTTGCTTGGGTGCTGATCCCAGCTCTGCCACCTCCAGCCTGTGTGACCCTGAGCAAGTTTCCTAAAACTCTCTGGGCCTCAAGTTGCTCATGTGCAAATATTGATATTAGGAGGCATAGGGTCTTGTTTTGTTTTGAGATGGGATCTCGCTATGTTGCCCTGGCTAGTATCAAACTCCTGGTCTTAGGCAATCCTCCTGCCAGGCAACTGAGATTACAGGGACTTGCTACTGCACTTGGCCATAGGGTTGTAATTTCAACAAGTTAAAACACAAAACATTTGGGACAGTTCTTAGCACATATTAAGTATCCAGTGGTGTACTTATTATTATTATTATTATTTTATTTTTTGAGTCAGTGTCTCACTCTGTTGTCAAGGTTGGAGTGCAGTGGCAGTATCTTGGTCACTGCAGCCTCTACTTGTGGGGCTCAGGCAATCCTTCCACCTCAGCCTCTCAAGTAGCTGGGACTACAGGTGCATGCCATCATGCCTGGCTCACTTTTTTTTTTTAATTATAGAGATGAGGTTTCGCAATGTTGCCCAAGCTGTTCTCAAACTCCTGAGCTTAGACAATCCTTGCCTCGGCCTCTCAAAGTGTTGAGATTACAGGCATGAGCCACTGCACCCAGCCAATTATTATTAATAAGTTTATTTTTTTAACTTGTTTTTTTTTGAGTTGGAGTCTCACTCTGTCGCCCAGACTGGAGTGCAGTGGCCGTTCTTGGCCACCGCACCCTCGACCTGCTGGGCTCCGGCGATCCTTCCGCCTCAGCCTTCCAAGTAGCCGAAGTCACAGGCATGTGCTACGACGCGATTTTTTGATTTATTATAGAGATGAGGTCTCGCTGCCCAGGTGGGTCTCGAAC